GTGGTTCGAGTGATTTTGCCCGAATTGACTTTCTCAAGACCAATTGGGTATGCAAATTTGCACAAGCAACTAGGGTTCAAGTCGGGTATTACTCTCTCGAGGTTTTACCCTTTAATTGGGGCTATCAATCTCTTGAGTATGCCCCAATTCCTTATTGGACCAATTTCGGAGACTTAGGCTCTCTTTCTCAAGAAAAGCTCAAGTCAACTCAACACAAACTAGTGTTTGCAATCACTAATTCAGAAATTAACCATGAAATTGGCCCAAATAACAACACCCATAGTCAAATTAGCCCTAAAATACAAGACCCGTCAATTACCCACACTAGGGTTGAGCCACAACCCTAGCTTATGGGTCTAGCTACTCATAATTAAAGAAGAAAAACAAGAAATAGATGAAGATAAACTCATATTAATTAATTACTAAGATAAACACAAAGATTCAATGATGAAATGTAGATAAAATTGCCCAAAATGGCTACAAACTTTGAACCCACGAGCGCAGCTATGTTCTGATACTATTTGCTTGACCTAAAAATGGAAAGAAAGCTATTTATACTAAGCTAACAATTCTGGACAAAAATGCCCCTGCAAGGTAAGTGCGGACCGCACAAAATGGACCGCGGTACGCACTAGGGCTTTGGACTTCAAAAACAGCTCTCTGAACCCTAGCATCGCGGACCGCAGAGAATGGATTGCGGCCGCTGAGGCTTCTAGTGCGGTCCGCACAGAATGGACTGCGGACCACATTGGCTTGAAAACTCAAAACTGGAATTCTCTGAATCTTGGCTCTGCAGACCGCATAGAATCAAGTGCGGCCGCATTAGTCTCGGTGCGGACCGCACAAAGTGGTGTGCGGCCGCACTGGGCCTGTTTTGCCTGAGCTTGTCTTGTCTTTGGCGCTTGTGCAAGTTTCACTCCTTTTGAGCTGATCTTTGACATCTTGTCCTTTTGTTGATCAAACCTGCAATCAAGTACAACTTGTGAGCCTTTTGGGACTATTTTGTATGAATTTCTAATCAAAGCATAAGCAAGAAGGAGTATAAAATGCGTCAAAATCCCTAGTTATCACCCTCTTTCCAATTCCCGATGTTTAAACTTTACTTTTTCTTTATATATGCAACTTGTTCACATCCCTTCCTTTTTGTCTCCTTATTTGAGTCATACATTGCCCAAAACATGCCTTTATTTGCAAGTATGTGTTTAAACTATTTGTTTGTTTAAAGGACTAATTCATAAGTATAAGTTCGGCCGGGACCCACCGTTGTGGACCGAGAGGGGTGCCTAACACCTTCCCCTCAAGGTTATTTCGAGCCCTTACCCTAAATCTCTGGTAATGCAAACTAGTCTAAGAGTTAATCGCTCTAGGTGCCCTAACGCACCATAATCCGTTAGGTGGCGACTCTAAAAAACCCAAATTTCCAAAAGGAAATGAGTCATTACCCCCATGGAATGTCAGAACCCGGACTTCTCTCCGCGAGGAGGGAAAAAAGGGGGCACGACAGTGATGATTCTTGTCATGAGTATAGACTCAACGATTGGTCGACTCAGTAGTGGTTATGAATTTCTACACGTCTCTTCCATCGTGGCGGTATTATAAGAGCTGGGTCAAGACTTATACATGTCATGAGGTGCATTGTGAGCATCATATTCGGGGAATGTCGGTTGTTATGATCAGGGAATGTTATTATGGTCCGTGAACGACGTGGTGCAGGGTGAGAATCCAGTAAAGGTATGCAGTCATGTTCTGGTACATCGCGTAGTGATTAATACGGTGTTCATATGTTGGAAGCAGGCCTGGCAGAGAATTTCGGATGTTGAAACTGGGCTCTAAGGCTCTTTTGCCTAAATAAAAGAGGGTATCTACAGGTTTGATCGAGCTAATGTGCTCAACTGAGTTGTGGTAGCATGGGTAGGTGCACGAGGTGTTACGCAGTAATTTCGGACAACTTCAGTGCAATTCTCAGCACGTTCGAGGATGAACGTATGTTTAAGTGGGAGATAATGTAACGATCCGACCGGTCGTTTTGAGCTCTAGCGCGTCGTTCGGCAGTTTGAGGCCACGAGCAGCTTCACATCAGGTATTATGTCTTGTACGCATGGTTGGAATTGAATTTCATTATTTATTGTTTAATGTATAAAAGAAATCATTTCAATAAATCCTAACGAGAATCTAATTAACTTCTTGGTGTTGGCTTGCCTGACAGTGGTGTCCGGCGTCATCACGACCTTTAACGGATTTTGGATCGTGACAGCAAAGCGTTTTAGTCCAGAACGATCGATGCTGGATAAACATTTTAGTAGTATAATATGACAAAGTAAGTAGAAAGTCAAAAATACAATTACTTTCTTTAAGTGAGAACTAGGATAAATTGAAAAGAAGACACCACCATGAAATTGTTTAAGAGAGATAGGGTCTTGTAAATGAAATATTTTAGAGAATTCTTGGAATCAAATGCCATATATATAGAGAGAGCAAAATATTGCTAGCATGTTTAAAATTGTGGACAAGCTAGCTATCTTAGAGTAGTATTTTACGGAAGCTTATTTGAAAGAATAATAATCTGGAGATTTTATTATACCAATTAATAAAGGGAAAAGATTCAAATTTACCACTAACGTACTATCTGTTTATCCTACATGGCTTGACCATCCCCCATCCCCACCAATCCATCCCAACTCCACCCACCCCAACCCCACCCACCCGTGCCACCCCAACCCTACCCACCCGCCCAACTCCACCCCAACCACCATCACCACCCCACCCTAAATAAAAATATTATTAATAATATTTGTTTTCATGTTATATATAGAGTATTTTTTTATTTCGACAAATGAGTATTTTATTTTCACGATATAAAAAAAAAATTCACTTTAACAAAAAAAAGGACTTTCTTTTTATGATGTAGAAAAAATATTTTCTTTCATTTCAACAGAATGATGTAGTAAAAAGTATTTTCTTTTATTTCAACAAAAAGATTATTTTCTTTTCATGATGTAGAAAAGTATTTTCTTTCATTTCAACAAAATGAGTATTTTCTTTTCATGATGTAAAAAAAATATTTTCTTTCATTTTAACAAATGGGTACTTTATTTCATGTTTTAGAAATAGTACTTTCGTTTCTAACCAAAAAAAAGAGTAACTTTTTAATTATGGAGCACAAATTTCAACGTTGTTTTTGCGTTAAAAAGTAAAGTGACACATTAGTTCATTTGGGTTTGTATGAATTTTTGGAAGAATAATTAAATTCTTGAAGAAAATAGAATCATGAAAATGTTGGGTATTTAGGGGAGGGGGAGGAGGTGAGAGCACATAAAACATAGGGACTTGAGGGAAGGGGGAGGAGAGTAGCATAAAAAAATATTTTCCAAAAAAATATTTTCTACTCTCTAACCGAATAGTAAAAATTATTTTCCGAAAAAGGTTTTCACTCAACAACCAAACAAGAAAAAATAAATGATAAAATCACTCATTTCATTTCCGAATTAGCTTGCGACAAGTCCTAGCATTAGTATGAGTTCGTTGACCGCGTAAGGTATTTTCCATGAAAATATTTTCTAGGAAAATATTTTCCATGGAAAATATTTTCTTTAATACCAAACACACCCCTCGTTAAACTTGTATAGAATATATATTTAAACACTTAAACTAAACGGGTGTTCTTTTACCCCCTAAATACATTGCGAGTGAATTTTGTTCCACCCTCCACGACACTTGACCCAGCACATGAAAACATTTGATTTATGAGCACGTTTTACACTAAATTTAACAGATAAAATGAATTTAAAAAAGAAAAATTATTTTAAAATTACATTTACTTTATAAAGAGGCCCCAACGGTAAAATTATATTACCTGATCCAATTCTTCTTTTCTTCTTCAAGAACCCAAAATCTCCTTCTCCTTCAATTACTCACAAATTCTGGCCAAGATATGAAATTTCGAACTAATCAAATCCGTTTATCTGAATCAAAGTCTTATTCTTCTCTATAATCTTTTGGTTCATCTAATTTTAGGGCTTACTTTGAGTGGTTCGAATTTCTTCTTATTTGAGGGGTTCATCTGATTTTAGGGCTTGCTCGATAATGCGGTCAACTAACTTAGCTAGGCTTTGCATGGAAGATGATGATTCTGGGTTGAATGAAGAAATGTGTTGCAACTATGGTTATTTGCTGCCGATATCGATTGCTTGGACCCCTCAGAACCCCGGTAGAAGATATTGGGTGTGTCCATAATATGGGGTAAGTAGAAGACTTATTAATTTTTGTAAATTAGTTGAAGCTTTCATTGATTGACATTTAATTAATTCCTTGTGTTTCATCATTGTATGGTCCAAGATCTAGTGATTTTTGGTGTTGGAGAGATGCTGAAATTGATCCAAGATTGAATTTTTTTTATTCCTAAACTGGTGAAGATAATTGGTGAGCTTGGAAGTGCATTAGAAGTGTATGAAAGTGTTGAGAAGCCTAGGGAAAAAATAAGTGAAAAAGAATATAGAGATGCAATTGGAGAAGTTGGAGGGAGAGATTGAGAAGATGAAAGAAAGGGAGAAGAAGTGGAGGAGCAGTTTAGTTAAGTCCAAAATTAGGGAGAACGTACTTTGATTTTTGTGTTTTGTGAATATGTTATAGCTATAAGCTATAGTTTCATCTAGTATATGTGAAGAATGATTCAATAAAGTTGTTTTAGGCTCAGTTGTGGCTGTAGTGTCTTTAGTGTTGCATCATTTTGTTGTAGCATCTTTTGTAAAAACTTAGTGTAACTTTTGTTATAATATATGCACCTTGTTAGTTTAGTTAGTGTTATTAAAATTGGCAATATGTGTATTATAAATGCAGGCTTTGTATTGATTTAGAAATCTGCAGTCATTGCTACATATTAGCAACATATTTATGCAGAAAACATATAAACAAATTTTCCGTCACTGCTGCATATTAGCAACATATTTATGCAGAAAATAAATAAATAAATTTGTGGTCACTGTTGCATTTTAGCAACATATTTATGCAGAAAAATAGATTAACAAATTTGCAGTTACTGCTGCATAGTAGCTGCATATTATTGCAGAAAAACAGACTTAGAAATCTGCAATAACTGCTGCATATTGCAAAAAAATAAACTTAAAAATCTGCAGTCATTGTTGAAGATTGTTACTTTAGCGTGAAAATATTAAACAAAAAAATAATCACAAACTTTGTGTTAACAAAACTGCAGTCATTGCTGCATATCATTTTCAGAAAACAGACCTACAAAAGTGCAATTATTACTACATATCATTCCAGACAGCGGACTTAGAAACTTCCAGTCATCGCTGAATATAGTTACATACCAAAACAAAACATTGTTTAAAAGTGCGGATACATTCATATTCTCTTTACATATACGAACTGCCAAAAGGAAAAAAAATGCTGAAGTACTAATATCTTCGAGGCAATTGATTGTGGTGTTGATGAACTTGTTCGGCTCAAACGAACTCTTTCAGATGCCTTTGACCTTGTCTCCATTCTTTTCTTATCTTGAATGTGTTGAAGTTTCCTTGAGGTGATAGATTCTTTACCTTTCCATTGCACCCATATTCATGGTTTGTGTTCAATATCTCCGGTCGCTACTGCAGAGTTCATAGGCACAATTTACATTCCAAGCTATATTCGCAAAAACAAACTTAGTTAGCTTTCATCCAAGTTTGATCACAAAGAGTTCATAGTAACAGTTTATATTCTAGGCTTACATTATAGATGAAAGCTCCACTTTCTTCTTCATAGCCTCGTGCGACGGGAGAAGGGGTTCCTCTTCTGGCGCTCTTGATTTCTCTCTTATGTAGAATTTTCATACCAACCATTCTTGGCCTTTTATAGGGTGTCTCTCTTCCTATACCAGTAGCAATATCATATAAAAAGTGCAAAGTATTAAGAAGTTATACAAAAAACAATTTGTAATAGAAGTAACTTACAAGTTTACCTATTTTGTTGAACCTCTTGGTTTTCCTCTTCCTATTTTTGGTAAAATTTGAACTGAAGGTGTTGATGAAGAACCAACACTTGATGACTTTTCACCACCAGTTGATCTTGCAGTACCTTGTGGACCCTTTGAAAACCTTTCTTATTATGGCCTTTTGCATGACAGTTATTGCACGTCATCTGGGTACCTCTTTTGGAAATCTTTCTTGTTTTGTTTTCAGTTGGTTCCTTCCTTCTCACTTTTCGGGGCATGCCAGGCATTTTTCTTACTTCTGGTGGTATAACAGAAGGGTTTTGTGATTGTGGCCACATCTCCATATGTTGTACAGGCTGAAAGAAGTGACTGTAGGTCTTCATATAAGTCTCCATATGATACCAATGTGCAATGTAGTTAACTGGCAATTTTTTAAAATGAATAACAGCTATAGCATGAGCATATGGTATACCTTTCAACATCCAAGCTCTACAGGTGCATGTAAGCCTGTCCAGATTCACTATATGCTTACTGGTGAGTCCTTCTTTTACTTCATAACCATATTGATCATTCCAGTGCACCGCATATTTCATTGACTTTGTTGTGTTCTCATGCAACACCTTCAGTGTCATTGGAGAAATATCACAGATTCACTTATCCATAAATTCCTCATTTGTGCTATTCTTATCATCATCTTCACGCTGATCTCTTCAAGCATTGTGATCATTTCCCTGTGTCTTGGCCCCAATATCCAAGAATTGAAATTTTCAGCCTATTGTTGTCAACACTATTACAATTCCTAAAATACTTGAAAAATACCTTGCACCACCTATATTTGTTATAGTATAATAGGTCCTCAACTATTTTATCCCCTAGTTTCTCCATGTGGTCAAGTTTTTTTAACTCTTGCTCATAAGTAGACCTAGCATATCTCCAAAAAGTAGTTTCTTCTCTCAATGCCTCTCTATTGTTTTGACCAGTTTGCTAGGATGTGCCTGGCACACATCCTATGTTCTGCCTATGGGAGGATCTCACTGATTGCTTTGTCAAGTCCCTACAACAGTTAAAGATAAACAATTAAAAGAATAAACGTAACAGATTTGAACAACACATTTAACAGAATATAGATTACCTTTTGCATGTCTGTAATAACAGTCAACTCTATCCCATCTCCAAGTTGAAGATCATTCTTTATAAGGTTGACAAACAATCTCCATGTAAATGTGTTTTCAACTTCAACTATTGCCCAAGCCAGTGACAAAATTGATTATCCCCATCATTACAGACAGCCACAAGAAATTGCCCTTTACATACACCTTTCAGAAAACACCCATCAAATCCAATACACCTCCTACAACCATCAAGGAAGGTCTTCTTCAAGGCATCAAAACAGATATAAAATGCTACAAATACTTTTTTATCATCTTTATGTATTTCTTCACTAAGTTTCACAACCCACGTGTTGCGTGAATTAGTCCTTAGCAGCTCATATCTATAGTCCAGAATTTTGCCAAACTCCTTAACATGGTCCCCCAAAATCTGTGTTAACACAATATTCTTGATTTTCCTTGCAACAACCCTTCCAATATACATTATAACTCCTTTTGAACTAACTCCTAAAACTTAAAAATTCTAATATTTGGTCCAAAAATTATTCTGTCCTTGTATCTTTCTGCTAAGTACTTTGAGTTGCACAATTTTTTTGGTAGTACCATTGCACTTGTGAAGTAGATTATAGTTCTTCACCACAAGATCATTTGTCCTAGAATCATAACTAGCAAACAAGAGCCATGGAAAACCAACATAGCTCTTTGCCCTCAACCTTGTTAGTTCATTAACATACTTATCTAAATCTACATGTTCATCAAATGCATACTTAGTAAGTGCTTCTCTAAAATGTCTAACACTCTCAAAAGCAAGGCCAGTTTCCCAAAGAATTAACTTACAACTAGGATAAAAGATAATCCTATTTTTTTTAGCTTTCTTCTTGCTCTTACTGGCTGTTGGACTTCCTCTTCAACTTCATCATAAGCAGTTTCATCAAGATTGATTTCAAAGCTAGCAGCTTTATCTGAGGGATAATTGTAACGACCCGATCAATGATTTGTGTAATTTTGTCCCGTTTCCCATTTTGATGAATCATACATGTGTGTTTATGATTTTATGACTTGCAGGGTCGGTTAGTCGTTCCGGAAAGCTTTCAGATTGATTTGGACCCTTGATTTTTGACTTAGAAGTTTAAATTAGAAAATATTGACCAAACTTTGAATTTGGTAAAAATGACCCCGAAACTGTGTTTTTATGGCTCTGATGGATTCGTATCGTAATTTCAGACTTGGACGCAGCCCGAAATTGATTTTGGAAGTCCGTAGGTTGATTTATATTTATTTGCCTAATTTTGGCAATTTGAAGTTGAAAAGTTTGACCATAGCTTGAATTTTAGCTATCAAGCTTGGAATTCGATTTTGGGACTTGGAATAGTCCCGTTATGGTTTTTAGAACTTGCTTGAAAAATTTGGTATCGTTTGGAGTTGATTTGATAGGATTCAGACGTTAAGTCGTAATTTTAGAAATTTTTGTACTTTACTTTGAAATTAATGCATTTTAGTGTTCGGTTTGTAGTTTTAGAAGTTATTTTTGTATTTCAATAGTGCGAGCGAGTTCTGATGATATTTTTATACTTGTGTGAATGTTTGGTTTGGGACCCCGAGGGCTTGGATGAGTTTCCGACATGTTCCGGAGCGTGTTGGACTGAATTCTGCAAAGACTGGTATTTGGCGCCCTCTAGTGTAGCATTTGCGAACACCAGGGTCGCATCTGCGACCACAGCAGAGAACCTACAGCTATCGAAAATGTGATGCCTTGGTCGCATTTGCAAAGAAATTATGGGCTGGGCAAGGTTCACATTTGTGATGGTGTTTGTCGCAATTACGACGGCAGCAAGGTTCGCAAATATGGACCCATCTTCGCATTTGCAAAGAGCTTCCCATACATGTCAGTGCCGCAATTGCGAAGGTTCGCATTTGCGAACCCATATCGCAGTTGTGATAACTGCAGCTGAACATAAGGCTGAAAGTCGGAATTTTATCTCTCATTCTCTCATTTTTGAACCCTAGAATCAGTACCAGGCGATTGGAGAGAGGATTTTCACCTACAAACCTTGGGTAAGTGATTCTAATAATTTTTAATCATATTCCATTAATATATCTTAGATTGTAACATCAAAATCATGTGAATCAAAGTGAAAATTTGTGAAACTGTGTCAAGTTTTTGAAAAATAAGAAATTTGAGTTTTGAGAGTCGATTTGGACTCGGTTTTTGAGACAAATCACATATATAAACTCGTGGGGTCATGGGTAGACGGAATCTACCATTAGACTCGGGTTTTGACCAGGCGAGATCGAGTTGACTTTTGTTGACTTTTTGGAAAAAGTGTAAAGATCTTAACTTTATCTATTGCAATTGAATTCCCTAGCATTGTTTGATGATATTAAGTCTATTTTGGTTCGATTTGAGCCGTGTGGAGGCGGATTTTAAGGGAAAAGTTATTTCTTAGTGTTGATTTGGCCTAGTTGAGGTAAGTGTCTTGTCTAACATCGTATGGGGGAACTACCCCTTAGGATTGGTATTGTTTTATTCAATTGGGCTTAGTGAAATCCGTGTACGCAAGGTGACGAGTGGGTACACGGGTTGTACGTGGTATTTGACCGATTTAGGATACTTAGACTATTTCCATGCTTTAATTGAAATGCCATATCATGTTCTAATCCTAATCAATCTATTCTTACTTGTGTTAGTCTATCCTTACATGCCTCATATGGTTTCGTTAACACTTGTTCTACATCCTAATTGATAAATTGCTCTCATGCTTTAGTTGAACTTGTTGCCTCCTTTATTGTTACATGCTATCTCTTCATTGTTGATTACCATTATTTGAAGTAATTACACATGTTATCTTTTTCATTGTTGATTATCGTTAATTGATGTTATCGTTCATGTTACCTCTTCCATTGTTGATTACCATTATTTAAAGTTATTATTCATGTTATCTCTTTCATTGTTGATTTCCATTATTTGAAGTCATTGCTACCTATTATCTCTTCCATTGTGAGTTATTCTTATTTAAAATCATGGTTACACATTGTTTCTCATTTTTGAGTTATTAGTGTTGAAGTTGTGAAAGTTGTTGTCACGTTGAGGCAAAATTGTTATTGTTGAAACATCTTCCTGTTGAGCATTTTACATTCATTGTTGTTGTTGATATTATTGTACCCGTTGTGGTGGAGCTGTGGACTATTATTGTGAAAATGTTGATATTGTGGATTGTTGGCAAACTGTGATATATGGGAACTTGTGGTGCGAGTTTTTATTATGTGAATTTGACGCGCATGTGGTGGTATAAGGCTTGGGGTTGATGTGCATGCGGCGGTATAATGTAGGACTTATGTGTGTGATTCTTGTAGGGAAACCACGTGAAGCCAGACGGCGTCATAAGGTGGGCTAAAGTACATGTAGCTATTTCAGGAAAACTGTTTTCAAAACCTATTTTAAATGTAAGGCTCACGCGAAGATATAAGGAAAGATTGTGATTGAAATTGAGAAATGTGAATACAAGGCGGTACCGCGGTTGTGATTTTATTGTACATGGGGTGGTACCTCGTTGTGATTCTTACTGTTTATTTCATGTTGCAAAGAGTTCTGGTGGGAATATTTCTTGTTGTTTCATTCTTTATTGCCCTAGCAGTTTTTGCTCGTATATGATCATTGTAGTTCTCCTTAGTTGTTTCTTCTATGCTATTTCCATGTTAAATTTTCGCTTTTAATTCATGCTATTATATTGGTTCGTATCAGTTATTTCTCTCCTTTCTATTATTTGCCCTTATTACATTTTCATACTGTCTATTTATATCCTAGTAGGTGTATTGACCTGGCCACATCACTATTCTACTGAGGTTAGGCTTGATACCTTACTGGATACCGTTGTGATGTACTCATACTACGCTTCTGCATATTGTTGTGCAGATTCAGGTACCTCTACTCGTGTCGGTCGTTAGAGATCATTTGTAGTTGCCTTACGGAGACTTCACGGTATGCCATCTCGGCATCCGTAGGCCTCGGAGTCCCATTCCCTATTTTACTTCTTGTTGTATTTCTTTCAGCAGTGATGTATTAGATATTCTAGTTTTCTTCTATAGAGCTTATGACTCTGTTCCACCAGTCTTGGGGAGTGTATTGATGAGATTATGCTTTCTTTCGGAAGGTTATATCAGTTATTCAGCTTTATTTTAGTATTTTGATTATTGTTTCTGCCAAGTTATTATTATCGGTTGGGCTTACCTAGTCGTAGAGACTAGGTGCCATCACGACATCCTACGGAGGGAAATTTGGGATCGTGACAATAATATAGCTCATCTCCAGCAATCTTACCCTCTAAAGATGTCTTCTTCCTAGTTGCATACTCATCATATCCTGGATCTAGACCCATTTTACCTAACTTGGCATGTCTAGGTTCAACCTCTTTCTCTTTTCTCCTCCTTCTCTACACCTTTTTCCTCTCTTCTCTTGAACTCCCATACTCCTCATCAACATCACTGCCATATTCTTCTTCCCCTTCCTCAAACAGCTCTTCATG